GACATTTGATTTACATTAAATATTAGATATTAGGAGGGATGACAATAGTATGGTTATATAATGAAATATTTAAGGATGACTGTTATGTTTGCAGTATAATTTCAAATGTAAACAAAATTATACAAACACATACATAAAGCATATATGGCAATATGTTAACAATCACTAAAAGTAGGTAGTACAGTGGTGTTTATTCCAGTATTCTTTCAACTTTTGTGTATGCTTTAAAATATTTATAAGAAGTTAGAAAGAAAAATTTTTTTTTAACATTTCAATTTTTAAAATTGTGATTTGGGTGAAAGTTTACAGAGCAAATTCACTTTCCAAACAGCAGTTCACACACACGTTGTCTCATGACATTGACTACAATTTACCACAATGCAACAGCTCCCCTCCCACTTCCTCCTGATAGTTACCTCTTCTCTGTGTCCTTCCCTCTATGCGCTGCTGCCCCCTGAACTATCTCCCTATGCATAAACAGCCCTTCTTTCTCCCATGATTGTTTTCTCCAAGGAATGTATCTACCTCAGGTACATGTTCAACTCATATGCCTGTCTTATTTGGCTGGAAGCCACAGGTGTGGGTTCAATTCCAGACCTGAAGGGCAGGCTAGGGACCATAGTCTCAGTGGTTCCACCAGGCTCTATCAGACCAGCAAACCTCGTCCCCCTTTTTTTTTGCCCCTCAAATGATTTTGAGTTTTGTTCCACATTGTTCTCCCTCTCTATCCAGGATCTCCTACATAGATCCCCCTCTAAGTGGTTGACAGTGGTAGCTGGGCACCATCTAGTTCTGGTCTCATAATCATATAAGCTGCAGATCGCATGGCATACCAGTCGCCAGGACTAATTGTTTCCATGAATCTTTGGTTTTTCTTCATTCTTCTTTGCTCTGGATGAGGAGAGACCCATCATTGCATCTAGATGGCTGCTTGCAAGCTTTTACTCACCAAAGTAGGAGGTGGAACAATGTTTTGTGTAGTATGTTATGCCAATTGAGCGTGATGTCCCCTGTGACTATGGTCCTGAGCCCACAAGTTCAACTGCTCGCTTCCTCTGGGTAGCTGGCTGTGACCAAGTGACTACCTTGTCCCTTGTCAGCTCTACTATTTGTTGTTGTTGTTGTTACGTGCCATCGAATCAGACCTGACTCATAGCGACCCCTCCTTGGGTTTCCGAGGCAGTATCACTACGGAAGTAGATTGCCCAACCTTACTTCCGAGGAGTGGCTAGTGGGTTTGAACAACAACTATTTGTACCATTTTACAGTCCCACCAGCAGTATATGAGAGTCCCAATCTCTCCGCATCCTCGCCAGCAT